GCAAGAGAGGGTCTCCAGCTGGCTTTGGAGAAGTAAAGTGCCGTGTTGTGAAGGGCCATGTGGCCGGAACCCGAGGGTGGCTTCTAGAGGCTCTGAGCAAGAAAGCAGGGCCCTCAAGTCTGCATCCACAGGAAAGGAATTCTGATAACAACCTGAGCAAGGGCAGAAGACCCCAAATTCCAGATGAGACCACAGCCCAACTTACACCCTGACTTCAGCCTCTGAGACTCTGAGCAGAGAACCCAATTAATTCCGCCCACCCTTCTAGGGACTTCCTTGGTGGTCTAGTGGTTAAGCATCTGCCTTGCGACGCAGGGGATGTGGGTTCAGTCCCTGGTAAGGGAACTGAGATCCTGCATGCTGCAGAGCAGCTAAGCCCGTGTTCCACAATTAGAGTCTCACAATTAGGGGCTTCCCAGGGCGCTAGCAGTAAAGAACCTACCTGCCAATGCGGGAGACGCGGGTTCAATCCCAGGATCCGGAAGATCCCCTGGGGCAGGAAATGGCAACCTGCTCCAGTATTCTTGCCTGTAGCATCCCGTGGACAGAGGCGCCCGGTGGGCTACAGTCCATGGGGCCACGAAGATTCGGATGCGACTGAGCACACACATACATTACATTACTCAGCACCACACCTCTGACCTACGGAGACTGTGAGACAATCAGTGAGTGTTGAGTGAGCCACTAAATTTGTGGTCATTTGTTACAGAGAAATAGAAAATGAATGCTTGCAGGTTTGAGATGTTCGTTTCTGATATGTCGCGACTCCAAATGGTGCTGCTGCGCTGCACGTTGCATGTTAGCTCACGCCCACGTGCATTCCGCACGTGTTAAAATATTTTAAGGGTGTGTAGCTCAGAATGGGGCTTCCCTGGTGGCTCAGCAGTAAAGAATCTGCCTGCGATGCAGGAGACCCGAGTCGATCCCTGGGTCGGGAAGACTCCCCTGGAGGAGGGCATGGCAACCCACTCTAGTACTCGTGCCTAGAGAATCCGCATGGACAGAGGAGCCCGGCAGGCTGCAGTCCATGGGGCTGCACAGAATCGGACACAACTGACGTGACTAAGCAGCCGCAGCAGTAGCTAAGAACAGAGTTTCTGGGTCTGAGAACAAAGGTATCGTCCACTTTAATAGCGACGAACTTGCATTCCAGAGTACTTTCACCAATTTACCTGGCATCAGCAATATCTGAGAATGTTCTCAACGTCACGGTTCAGCAGCAGTTGGTCTTGTCAGGCTTTGTTTTGCTTTAAATGGTTCAGTCAGTTCAGTGGCTCAGGCATGTCTGACTCTCTGCGACCCCATGAACTGCATCACACCAGGCTTCCCTGTCCATCACCAACTCCCAGAGCACGCTTAAACTCATGGCCGTTGAGTCGGTGATGCCATCCAGCCATCTCATCCTCTGTCGTCCCCTTCTCCTGCTGCCCTCATTCTTTCCCAGCAGCAGGGTCTTCTCCAGTGAGTCCGTTTTTTGTATCAGGTGGCCAGAGTATTGGAGCTTTAGCTTCAGCATCAGTCCTTCCAATGAATATTCAGGACATTTAAACATGTAGCTCTTCCTTTAATCTGAATTGATTTGTGTGGCTGCTGTGAGATAGGGAACAATCTCATTTCTGTTCATCTAACCCATCGTCACAGAATTGTTTATTGACTGGCCTGTCCATTCGCCATGGTTTTGCAGTGCCAGCTATGTCGTCATACAATTCCTCGCCCCGGTCAAGGTCACACACGCTCCCTTTTTACCTCCTTTTGCCATTGAATTTTCTTCTGGTCAACTTCCAGTGAAGCCAAATAAATACTAGGCTCAGCAGTCTTCACCTTTCAAAAGTCTGTGGCTTTGCCCCTGTGCCTGACACGATGTTAAAAACCGAAGCCTAACAGAGCTTATAAATCCCATAGGGAAGGTGCCTTTTCTAGACTCCAGCTACCTGTTAGTTTTTGGTCCTGGGATTTCCCTTGTATTCTTGGAGGCTTTTTTTCAAATTAATTAATTAATTAGATTGTGCCGGGGGTTAGTTGCAGACAGCAAGATCTTTAGTTGCATTATGTGGAATCTAGTTCCCCAGCTGGGGATCGAACCCAGTCCCCCTGCATTGAGAATGTGGAGTCTCAGCCACTGGACCACCAGGGAAGTCCCCCTGGGGTCTTAACTAAGCCTCTTATAGGATGTTTGTAGTGTGTCTTCTAGAATTCCCTGTGGTTTTTAAATCACTTTTTCACATGTGTGATCAGAGACTGAATTGCAGTAATAAATTTTTGAGACCAAAAAAAAAAAAAAAGCCACCTTTTGGACTGTCTTTAGACAGACAGCTTTAACTTTTTTTCTATAAGCACAGCCTGAGACCAGGCATCCTCAGGTCTGTCTTCCCCATCTGCAGCAGCCTCACGTGTCTGTGCATTCGTTTGCATTACAGATATTGCCTCCATCTGATTCTTATATCCTCCTATTTATACATCCCTTTGCATTTGTTTGCATTACAGAGATTATGTCCACTTTGATTCTTGTATCCTCATATTTATATTCCTCTCATCTGCTGCGTCAGCTTGACTGGTGGCCCAGATGGTAACGAATCTGCCCACAGTGCAGGAGACCTGGGTTCGATCCCTGGATCAGGAAGATCCCCTGGAGTAGGAAATAGCAACCCACTCCAGTATACTTTTCTGGAGAATTCCATGGACAGAGGAGCCTGGCAGGCTACAGTCCATGGGGTCACAAAGGTCGGACACGACTGAGTGACTAATACTTTCACTTTCATCTGCTGCATACCAAAAGTTTCCCACAAATATTGCAGGCATCCACCCATCCACAGTGAAGACTAAAGTGATCGTGTGCCTCTTTTGTTGTGGTTTATAATTCAGACAGCATCCTCCACGGGATGGAGCTATGCCTTGCCCACACATGCCCAAAGGTGCTAACTTTCACTTAGAGCAGAGTCGAGATACGTGAAGGAACTCAACTCACCCCCATAATAGACACACAGGAAAGAACCCAAGCCAGAAGGTGAAATATGCCCGAGCAGATGGAGTCGGCTGTGAAGTAATATCAGAGATATCCTGGAGTGTATTTAAAAATCCTGGGAACCTTATTATGGTCTATGGGTTGTGCTTCCAAATATCATTTTGTTTTCATAAGAAAGGGAGAGATTGCTTCCAGGGAAGGAAGACTGCAAAGCTTTGTGAAGAGTTGTCGTCAGAGGTAAATATGGTTCCCCTAGAGGATTTGGATGATGGCGTTAGATGAAAGTATTCCATGCAAGGAAAGCAGCGTGAGTCAATCCAAGGCATGGAGAATCACGGGGCGCGGAGGGACGGGTGAAAGGAACCACAGGACTGGACTGGAGACAGACCGCTGGGTGTCTTCCGAGGTCCAGATGGTGACACACGGGAACCACTGAAGATGTTTACTCTTGCTTTATTTTTCCTGGAGAATGGTGGAAGAGCTATTTTGAGGGAGTTTACACTGGAAGAAATGTTTCTCTGAGGAGGTTTTTCATTGAACAAAACTCACTTTTATTGACCAAAAACAAAAATTTACAATCACTTGAGGAATTTCTGGCATCTTCAGGGCAGTAAGGGAGGTAATTTTTTTTTCTTTAATTTTATCTGCATCATCATTTTTGTGTCAAATCTTCCACTATCTCATAAAGTCAGTCCCATCTGAGGCTTTAAGCCAAATTGTCATCCATGTCTGGACATGGCCCTGCAATAGAAACTAGCAATTTGGTTTAACTTATAAAGTAATGCAATATATAGTTTAATGTAACCACGTCCCTCAAAAAAGCTGAAAAATTAGCTCTGTTTCTGTTCTGCTGTACCATCTGAGCTTCTTTGGCTTCTATTAGAATTTATTTTTTGGTAATTCCTCAATGGCATAGTGATAAAATAATATCCTGTGTTCTTCCTCTTGGAGGACGACTTTAATAAAGGATGAATCACACAGAAATGGCCTTTTCCTCGGGCTGTGTATTGGTATCACTGACCACTGAGCTGCAATACAAGGAATTATTACATTCCTTGGATAAAGCACCCTCAATTCCTACCCTGATCCCAGAAGCATTCTCACTGGAGGAGAACATCTTTTTTTTTTTTTGCTCCTTATCGTATTTTGGTAGTTTTCTACCAATTGTCTCATTTGCAGTTTTCCCTTTTAATAGTTGCCATGTTCCATTAATATTATTTTAATAATCAGCCTACTCCCATTGTACCACCTTCAAAAGTCAGTGAGGGTCAAAAATGAGGACTATTCTGTGTCTCCTCCAGTTAAGATGATTCTGTGGGCATATGTTTTTACAAGTGAAAAGCTGACTCTATGTTAATACTTTGTGGAGTCTTGCCTACAAAATATACAATCTAGAGTCAGACATTTCAGCTATTCTCTCTTGGTAATGTACAATTCCCCATCAATGAGAAAAGAACACTAGTAAGCATTTTGGAGGACTGTTGAGAAGGTCTAAGGATATAATAGTATCAGACTAGTTAACATTGTACTGACAGTGAAAAGGGGAATCAGTAAGCAGTAACAGTTAGTGTTCTTAAGTGGCATGGAAATCCAAGTTCTTAGCATGAAACACTAAATTCCTAGCAGTAATCACATTTGTTGTTGTTTAGTCACTAAGTTGTGTCCAACTCTTTGCGACTCCGTGGATTGCCACCCACCAGACTCCCCAGTGCTTCAGTATCTCCTGGAGTTTGCTCAAACTCATGTCCATTGAGTTGGTGATGCCATCCAACCATCTCATCTTCTGTTGTCCCGTTCTCCTCCCAACATAAAAGGGTCCCTCGGCAAAAGATGGTGGCATTAGCTGGACACTAAGTATTCAGTTTTCTGCATTTTATTTTATTTTAGTTTAGTTTTCTTTATTTTAAACTGAAAGTCTGAAAACCAGTTCCCATTCTGGTTTAGACTGTTCCTTTTAGTTAGTCCTTTGTAACTTTCAACAAAAATGCAAAAAGTAAAAAATTCTATTGCAGAGAAGATTACTGCCAGAATCTGAAATAGTAATAGCTTCCCATTCACTATTCTGCATCTGGGACTAAACACAGGGCCACTTAGTGACTGATGTGTAGATTCGTTCTTGCCGCTCTGCCCACCTCTTGGGTACAACTGCCTGCTTCTGCAGAGGACTCTGTCCAGCCTTCCCAACATCTTCTCTACGAATCGGTGTCAAAAGGTTGATGTCCAGGAAACATGATAAGATAAAGTAAAAAAAAAAAGCCATTTGTAGCATTATTCACCATCGTGAAAATTTTAAAGCAAATTTAAAGTCAAATCATAATAGAATGTCTAAGTAGACTTTGGAAATAATGGCATATTATAGTTATCAAAGGTCAGTTTTTACAGAATAATTAATAAGATTAGTCATGCATGACCATAATGATGATAACTAAAAATTAAGTAAAGAAGCCTAATACAACACCATATTTACAGCTGGATTCAGTTTTATTGCCAGTATATGTATATACCCAGGGGAAAAAAAACTGGTAGAATTTTCAAGTTTGACAATAAATTCTAAAAAATATATACAACCTGTTATTTGAATTGAAAGTAACTTATTTTATTCTTCATGCCTTTTGGTATTTTCAAATTTTGTATAAGGAATGGTTTCATGGTTTAAAACAATGGAGGCAGGTAGGTATGTAGATATAAAAGCTTAATTCATAATTATGCATTAGTAAAAGAAAATCATCTCATTTTTTTGCATGACATGAACATTAGCTGGTAAATTGTAACTGAAGAAAAATATTGATATAGATATAAGGGATATGCAAATTGTAAAAAGATAGAAGCAAGACTTTGAAATTTATGCTTGCAATAGAAAAGAGCAGACAATAAAATTTGCAGTAAAGCTTTCTATTTGTGAACTTGGAGTGAAGACAAACTAGAAATCAAAGCCCATTCAAAAGCAAAAATTAGACAAACTCCATTTCTAAGATGTAGGATTTTTCAGTAAGCAAAAATATAAGCACTTTCTGATTGATGCTGCTTTCTATTTGAAGCCAAATAGAAAACCCTTCTTCGTGATCACAGGTATACAAATGGATAGTAGGGAAACACTGAGAAATTTCCTGTGTAAACTTGGTGGTATCATGGTTACAGAAGTTTTCTTAATAAACCTTCAGTTTTCATTGCACCCAAAGTAAAATATCAACTTTCATCTGCAATTTTATAATGCATATTTGCCATTGAAATGCATCATTTACATTATGAAAATTTAATATGACTGACATTAGCAAAATCACTAATTAAGAAATAAGACATAAATACTCCAAGAAACTTGACAGTGTGTTCTATGAAGGAAATTAATTCAGAAGTCTCCCATTTGCATAAATCTCCAGGTCTCATTTTCACAGCTGTTTGTTCTGTCAGCTAGATGGTTGCATTTCCAAATTATTTTAACATAATCTCTAGGAAATAAATACCTTTCAACTAAAAATATCATACTCTGCAAAAAAGATTGTTAGGGGGAAAATATAAGTTCATTCAGTTCATCTCAATCTTTTTTCTTTAAAATGAATGTTTCTAGTATAGAAACTTTAACATTTAAGTCTGAAATTATTGAAATATTTTTATTATTAAAAGACAGTTTGTAATTTTAGATCCTCACAAAATTGAAAAGGTTATGTCCTTTTCATTTGGGAAAAATGGTAATGAGTGAAGCTTATTTTAGCAAAAAAGAAAAAATACTGGAGATGTCTAATTTTCATTAACCAGCTGAGCATAATATAGAGTTTCAGGTACGTACTCATTACTGTACTTGATAAAGGAGTAATAATTTTAAATATGATTTAGCCTAGCATATTGTTTGTTTTAGCAATTTAGATAAGGAAAGGAGATCAGCAATGGCTAGATCTTAAAGATGTCTTGTTACCTGTAGTGTCCAAAAACACAGAAGGAATTTGAAATCCACAGAGTCCAGCCTAGAGACCCAGCAACACCACTTGCTACCTGCAAGCCTGAGTCAATCATTTAAGGCCTGCATACTTCAGTTCCTCATCTGTAAAATGTACAGTGAGTAACACAAGATTATTGTTAAAATCACTCTAAATAATGGACAATGAATGACCTTGGGGCTGCTAAGCACCATATAAATGCTAGTCATGGTTCAGTGTCTCTTCTCATGTTTTTAAATCTTGCCCTGAAAAAAATGTGTACTTGCCGTTCAAATCCATGGTTTTGTCCACATGGTCAGTTACACTGATCAGTTGTACATAGAGGTTAACCCAAGCATGGCCATTTGTAAAAGAAGTGATGATCAGGCATACCTACATCCACTTTCGTAACTAGAAAAAGATGCTCTCGTTTTTGCAAATGAGTTTCTCCCATCTTTCCTTTCACTCTTGAAATTATATTTAAGTTTAGACTCTACTTAGAGTAATTTGCTGCTGGAATAAGCATAACATTTTGATTTCTGCTTTGCTTCTAATTACATTCAAACTCATTTTGACATTTAAAGCCAATTACATTAGTCTAGATTCAGCAAGACTTTTCCATAGTAGTCTAAAATTTGACCAATGAACAGGACCGCCCCCTCCCCTTTTATTCATTTAAGTGGAATGCTTGGCAACAGGCATATTTTAGAAATAGTAAAAGCAAAATAAATAATGTGGGTTCATTTTGAAATAAAAGGAAAAGAGCTGCTTGGTCTTTCTTACCAACATAAAAGAGAGTCAGAATTATTTGAAACCACCAGTTTCAACTTTATTTCCTTCTAAGTCACAAGCAATAAGGCATAATCATTTTACAAAAAAAATTAACATTTTTAATGTTTTGCTTCTATTAACAGCAAGGGTAGTTGATCTCAAATTCTAAGAGAATTCATGCATAGAGAGAGTGAGTGAAAGTCTTTAGGTTGTGTCTAGTTCTTTGTGCAGTTAGCCTGCCAGGCTCCTCTGTCCATGGAATTCTCTAGGCAGGAATACTGGAGTGGGTAGCCATTGCCTTCTCCAGGGGATCTTCCTGACCCAGGGATTGAACCCGGGTCTCCCGCATCGTGGGGAAGATTCTTTACCATCTGAGCCACCAGGGAAGTCCATACTTCCCTGAGAGAGAACTTCAAAAGCTTTATAACTTGAAAGTCACTAGTAACTCTTCGGAACTGTCCAAGCCCTACAACAACACTCAACCAATATTCAATTTAAGATTCTAGTACATGTGATGGCTTAGAGCTCACCCAGCTCTTATTTTATTTAGCTCCCTACTTTGAGTCCACTTACCAACGCTGTGATTCTTAATGTTTATTCAATAAATTCTCTTGTCCCCGACAGTACTAAAAGTCAACTTATAGTAAATATAGTGTCAAAACATTTAGTGTAACCTTATTCTATAGTTTTTATAGTCAAGGTATAGTCTGAGTAAATAGACTAGAAAGCATATTGTATAAAATCAGAGTTTTCCAGTTGACTGCTGGTATCAACTAAGACAGAGTAGAATTGTAGGCATGGGCTTCCCGACGGCCCTAGTGATAAAGAATCCACCCGCCAATGCAGGAGATGGAAGAGACACCAGTTTGATTCCTGGATTGGGAAGACCCACTGGAGAAGGAAATAGCAACCCCACTCCAGTATTCTTGCCTGGAAAATTCCACTGACAAGGAGTCTGGTGGGCTACAGTCCATGGGGTTGCAAAGAGTCAGACCCTACTGAGTCTGACACACACAGGCACACACACACACACACACACACACACACACACGTGCGCGCACACACACACACAGAATAGTAGACACTTAGAGGTAGAAGTTATCTTTGGAGTCGCTTAGCTCCGAGATGAAATGAAATGATGCTATCGATATCACTGTCACACTTTCATGTATCTAAAGGAAATATCTTCTTAAAAATATAATCCAAACTCAGCCTCTGTGACCGCAGAGCTCAACACTTGGTACTTTGCCTGCCTACCCTGCAACTCACGGAGGGTCAAGGTCTTTATCCTCTGCCCATTCAGCCTCTACTTTATATTTTATTTTTAAATATTTATTTATTTAATTGTGGCTGTGTCCAATCTTAGTTGCAGCTCGTGGCATCTTTCCTTGCAGAGCACCCTCTCTGTGGTTGTGGTGCCAGGGCTTAGTTGCCCCACAGCAGGCAGGGACTTAGTTCCCTGACCAGGAATCGAACCTGCGTCCCCTACATTTTGCAAGACGGATTCTCAACCACTGCCACCAGGGAAAGTTGTTCAACCTCTAGTTTAAACCACTCTCGTTTGACTGTCCTTTCTGGGGAGGGTGTCTCTTAAGAAAGAGGACAGAGATGAGGTGGACAAGGTTAGCGCAGGTGAGAAGTTTTGCAGAGCCCAAGGCTGGGCAGTGTGGAGGCCTCTTTGGAGGTCAAGGTGGAAGGGAGCCTGTTTCCATATGGAGCTAGTGCAGGAGCTGGAGTGGTGCAGACCTGGAGAGTTAGATTCACCTAGGAGTCAGCATGTTTCCTGAGAGGTTGGCCAAAAGGGAGATGGAGTTTGCAGGACTGGGAAGAGTGTATTTGAATTGATAGACCATGAAGTTCCATGTAAATAAGACAAGGAGAAATTGAAATAAAGAAATGGCTATTGCCAATGGCTTTAGCATTAATGGCGACCCCGTCTAGTATTCTTGCCTGGAGAATCCCATGGACAGAGGAGCCTGGCAGGCTATAGTCCATGGGGTTGCAGGAGTTGGACATGACTTAGCAACTAAACCACCACCACCACTATGAGTTTACTCCAGATTTAAAATCCACAGTATCTGTGATTATGGATAACTTAGTTTAGTTGCAGTAAGTGGTGACTCTTAATTAAAGAGTTTTTATTTACTGTAGGTTTTTAAGTATTGTACTGTACTGTAGCAGTCTATCAGTTGTATCTGACTCTTTGCAACCCATGAATTGGAGCCTGCCAAGCTCCTCTGTCCGTGGATATTTCTGGCAAGAGTACTGGAGTGGGTAGCTATTTCTTCCTCCAGGGGATATTCCTGACTCAGGGATCAAACCCATGTCTCTTATGTCTCCTGCATTGAGCCATTGGGCAACTTTTAAATACATGTAATGTCGTTTTTCTTGGTTTTTCCCAACCCTTAACTCTCAGTAAGACCTTGATCTTGTCAGTCATGATTTTTCCAACCAGTGTACGTTTTGGAAATTTAACTCCAGTATTAGGTAGGTCCAACACTTACTATATATTGATGTCATTTTAAATATTGTTAAAACTTTGAATCATTGAGGAGTTTTAAATGAAAGAAACTCTACAGCAAAATATTAAATCATGCAATCCATGGGTTTTTTTCACTGTAAACACGATTTCTCATTTAATTAATTAAACAATTGCTGGTCGTTCGGGGATTCCTCAGGTCCCCTTGGGTGTCAAGGTCCACCCTCACCCCCCCCACCCCTGTGTCCGGCAGATGCCCTAGTTGTGAGGAGACATCAAGTCCAAGTCCACCCACTCCTCTGTCTTGGTTGGTAGGTTTTTCAGAATATACATCTCCTCTGTATTTTATTTTAGTGGGAAAAAAGAAACAAGGAGACTGAGTAGGTGAATAATTAAGGCAATTAAAACCGAAGGAGGTGTCACTTTTACACTCCGTGAATACTGTCACGGCAGATCTATTTTACGGCTGACTGGTAGTAAGTCACAGCAGGGACACCCTCCGTAAAAAGGTTGCGCTACTATATAAGCTGTCAAACTGACTTCATTTTGAAGGCTCATCTTCTGCAGAGAAAGAGTTCTGGAAACCCACTAAAGATAGATAGGATACATACAAATTATATTGTAAAATGAAAATGGAATGTCAATAACCCAAGTTGTATTCGTCACATTTAAAATTTTTAATGTCAAGATTTTTTAAGTAAATACATATTTTGCATATATTTTAATATGCAGTAAAACTATATTAAGTATAAGGTAATTTTTATGTCCAGCAAAAATCTGTACATGAATGTTCATAGCAACATAGTAGCCAAAAAGTGAAAACAACCGAAATATCCACCAACTGATGAGTAGATAAAATGTGGTCTGTCCATCGAATGAAACATCATTTGGCAATAAAAGGTAATGAAGTGCTGATACAGAACCCTGACCTCTTGTATGATTCCATTTGTAGAAAATGTTCACAATAGGCAGATCCATGGGGACAGAGAGGGTATTGTTGGTTGCTGAAGGCTGTGGAAGGGAGGGAAGGGAAGTGACTGCTATGGGTACATAGTTTTGGGGGAATGATGAAAAGGGTCTTGCCTTAGTTGTGCGGAAATGAAACCCCTTAATTGTCTACTTCAAAAGGTGAATTTTATAGTATTTAAACTATGTCTCAACAAAGCTGTTACTTTAAAAAGTCTGAAAAAATAGTATTACCACCTTCCATAGTCCCTCAAACCAGTCAGTCCTAAAGGAAATCAATCCTGAATATTTATTGGAAAGACTGATGCTGAAGCTGAAGCCCCAGTACTTTGGCCACCTGATGGCAAGAGCTGCCTCATTGGAAAAGACTCTGATGCTCAGAAAGATTGAAGGCAGGAGGAGAAGGGGACAACAAAGGATGAGATGGTTGGATGGCATCACTGATTCAATGGACTTGAGTTTGAGCAAGCTCCGGGAGATGGTGAAGGACAGGGAAGCCTGGCGTGCCTCAGTCCATGCGGTGGCAAAGAGTCGGACATGACTCAGGGACTGAACAACAACAGCTGACCTTGTCGTGACCACTTAGTTGCTGCTGCCCAACTGCAGAGCCAATCCCCATTCATTCATGTGCCTCCAGACCCTACTGCTAACAGTGTGATTTTTCCCTGTAACTTCCACTTGAAATTCATTAGAGATGTTTTTGATTGATTTTGCTCTTCCCTGCTCGTCAGGGTTGTTTGTTCCAGATCACGTCCTGTGCAGCTGGCCCATTCTCAGGTTAACTGCTCATCTCTGATTCAATTAGCTGCAGTCAGACACCTGCAGCGTGAACAGGGCCTGACCTGCATGGGGATGGTTAATATGTGATTATGTCATTAGACACAGAAAAGAAAAGGCACTTGTAAACAAAGTGCTTACCCCTATTTACATCTGTAAGATTGGACGTGAAGGGTAAAATAGCAAAAATCACAGATCTTCTGTCCCGAAAACCTGCAGAAATGAATAAAACAATTCATTACCAGCCTGGAAAAAAATGATACCAGCAGTCACCCCACAAAGAAAAGGCCACAATTTCAGACCATTAGCTTTAAATAGCAGCTACTAGGAAAGAGGGAGGGAGAAAGAGAAAGAATCAGAGAGCGAGTGCACTCTAGGTTCATGCCCAAAGCCTGTTTTCCAGAAGTTGAAAAGAAATTAAATTGGAAAAGCAAATCCTAAAATATGTGCTCATCTCCCTCAATTTGAGGAGCCTCAGGCTGCGGGGATGTGCAGAGCCCTGGAAAAGACATCAAGAATCTCCCACAAGTGTAGAAGTGATTGATTCACCCGATTTTACCAAAGGCAAGATAAAATGCTGGAGTTTTTTATTTTTCATTTTTCCCAGTTGGGAAGAAGGCTTGTGAGTAAAAGCCACACAGTCATAATTTCTAAAAACTAAGGCTCTTCCATAATAAACAAAAGTTCAGCAGAGTGAAAGGGTGAAGAGAAAAGAAGAAAATTGAAACCAGGAGGGAGCAGGAGATGGGGAGAAAGGGGTGGAGGAGTGCAGCTGTCCTCTCCTGGTACCCAGAGGACTAGGATCTACAGAATCAGCATGTCTTTGTCCTCACCTGGAGTCAGTGGGGTGCAAGTGCTGGAAGGAACCCGACGGACTGTGGCAGCAATAAAAATTTCCCGAATTTACCCACAGTGGGAAAATGTCTGAGTCCTAATATTTCAAGCTTAGCTGTCCATGGCCTCAGCCAATACTTCTCTCCCTGCAAACCATTCTCCTCGTACTGAGACCGCAAAACATAGAAGAAAACATAGTTGACAAATTGAAACAGGGTTCTAGTGATGGACATGGGAATCCCAAGTGACGCAACAGTAAAGAACCCGCCTGCCAATGCAAGAGACACGGATGTGAGTCCAGTCCCTGGGTTGGGAAGATTCTAGGATTCTTGCCTGGGAAATCTCATGGCCAGAGAAGCCTGGCAGGCTACAGTCCATGGGGTTGCAAGAGTCAGACGCAACTGAGAGATTAAGCCACCACCAATGATGGGCATGAGCTTCTGGGATCCCTTTCTGACACTGTATTGGAGGGATTAAACGATCTAGATAAGGAGGCTTAAGATGAAGGCTTTGCATTTGCAACAACTTGGATGGACCTGGAGGTTATCATACTAATCAAAGTGAGTCAGAAAGAGGAAGACAAATACCATATGGTATCACTTACAGGTGGAATCTAAAATATGGCACAGATGACCGTATCTATGAAACAAAAGCCAACTCGCAAATAGAGAATAGACTTGTGGTTGCCAAGCAGAGGGCAGAGGGGAGGCCGAGGGAAAGATTGGGAGCTTGGGATTAGCAGATGCGAACTATTACATATAGAATGGATAAACAACAAGGTCCTACTGTATAGCACAGGGAACTATATTCAATATCCTGTGATAAACCATATGGGAAAGAATATATATATGTATATAATATATATTTATAACTGAATCACTTTGCTCTATAGCAAAACTTAAACACAACATTGTAAATCAACTATACTTCCATAAAATAAAATGAAAAAAGAAGGCTTTGACAGTTGTGGAGCAGGTCTAGAGCGTAATTGGTCCAAATTAAAACAGCAGTAAGAGGACTCCAAGGAAAATGTCTGAGAGAAAGAATAAAAAGGTTTCTGGGTAATCTAAGCCTCCAATAAGAGCCTCTGTAAGAGAAGAGAAGTGGAATTTATTCCAGACAGTTGGTAAAAATCTGTGAGAATCTGGAAGCAATTTGAAGTAGAAGGAAGAAAGTCTATATTTCTTTCCCCGAAGGAACTTGTGAAAAACAATCAAAAACTCCCAACTAAAACAAAACTAAACTAAAAATTGTATAAGAAGATTCCAATAAAGTGAATTAAGCTGGGCCAGATTCTGAAACCTTAGTGAAAAGTAAGGGGCCTCCACCTAATGCTTGAACATTTACCTTATACTACCAAACATGTCTTAATATTTGGAGCTCTGGGGAAGGAAATATTACCATAGGACATTACCAGGATAACATTATACTTAGCAGTATTTTCATAGGCAACTCATTGACTATCCATCTACTGATTATCAGTGTACCAACAAGCTTGGAAGACCCAATGATGACTAAACAGCAAAATGTAAATATGGTTGAACAGAGCATAGTAATAGTAATTCACAGCATCTCACAGTACATACTTAAAGTTTTCTGAGCTGTGCAGAAATGAGGCTTTTTCCTTCCGGAACTCTGAAAAGAGTAGAGGGTAACCCAATGTTCTTGCTCACATTGTTTACCTCACAGCAACAGGTTATAAACCCGTAACTCCATGTTCCCAAACCTTCACTGAATGCACGATGGCTGAGTGTTCATGAAAGCTCATGCTGCAGATGAAAACAAATTAAGTAGGTTTCTGCCCAAAGAAACTGAAAGGTACACCTGAATTTCTGGCCTCTAGGTACCAAGGATAAATCCATTGGACTTAATCACAAGTTTCTCTATCACTTTTAGGGAAAGAAATCCATGTCCAGGAAAATTCCTTTTGTCTTGGTAGATGTTTTGACTTTTCCCCCCTTTCATTGTTGAGCTGTTTGGATGTCCACACACTTTCACACTGGTGACGTCTCTGTTGAAGAAGATACAACAATCTGGTATTTTTTTTTTCTGTGTGTGAGATCTTAGTTCCCCAACCAGGGATTGAACCTGTGCCCCCTGCAGTAGAAGCATGGCATCTTAACCACTGGACTTCCAGGGAAGTCTACAATCTGATATTTTTATGTGAGTCGTCTTCAGAACTTGTTTTCCTTGCCTTCAGATGTAATAAATACTCAATAGAAAAAAAATACAGGGAAAAAATAATTGCCCTCAATGATAGGTCTGGCACACTTATGACATTAAACCTTGTGTTGAAAAATTCTCTGAAGCATTTTTAAGATGAATTAAAGCTAATACTCTCTTCGGCACCCCCAGCAAGGAAAGTATTAAACCGTCCTTGTTGATGCCGTGCTCAAGTACTAGTAACAACATACTTCTTGCTTTCATAAACAGAACACTTTGTAGGGTGATGAGGTTATAGAAAAATTAAGTCAAGAAGAAGTTAAATGTTTCACACATGGACTAAGGCTCGGAGGAAAAACATGTCTCCTAGTTTGAGATTCATTTTGTTGTTCCTTTCTTCATATAGACCCACTATGTGCTGGGCATTGAACATTGCACTTGTAAAAAAGTTTATTATCCCTAGTAAAGAAAACTGCCAAAAGAGCTTACTGTGTGATCAGGTCTGGGAAGTAGTAGATTCAAGACTTCACTGAAGGCAGGAAGCAGCACTTGGAAAAAGTACTTGCTTTGAGTTCATGATGCCTGGTGCTACTTCTATTACTGCTACAAATTAATAGAGTGACTCTGGGCAACTTAAGCCTCTTTTTCTTTATCTTCAAAAAGAATGAATCAAGTTAGATTATCTTTAGAGTCCATTTTGCCTCTAAGATACTATCAGTGTAACAGAACTCTTATAGGGTTTTGTCCATCTTTCTGTTATCCTGGACTTTATTTCTTGGAATCCCAATACTTGAGAATTTGATTTATGTCTTGCATTGTCTTGAAGTCTATAGCAATTTCTTTCAGAGTCACTCAATTCCAATTGTCAAATTTCCCTGACAGTATCATAAGTTCTCATTAAGTTCTCATTTATTGACCACTAATATGTACAGAGTATGTAAGCCAGAGGTGGATATAAGCATGTATTTATAAGAAAAAAATGTATAGGAATGACACTAACCAAAGATCTTTGCCAAGAAAGAATGGGTCTTTGAACTTGGCTTTTGTTGAGTGCTCTTTTTAATTTAATTCAATTTTACTTTATCTTTTACTTTACTTTTGGTCTTGGGGTTTCTTCCATGGTCTTGACTCTGCTTTGGAAAAAAAATGTTTTAAATTATGAAAAAATGTGATCATTTTTATGAAGTTGCTTAGTATTATCATATCATTTTAGAAATATTTCTTGTTCAGAGTCTTGTGTTTTTAACATAACTGAAATGATTTGATAGATGAATTCTATAAAAGTAAAATTAAGGTTATTATTCTTATTTGCCTTTAGACAATCGAATGTAATTTGCTATAGAAGTAAGTTGTGCTTGACAGCAAAAAATAAAATAAATTACAGTAATCCCTTGGAAGCATTAAATAACTTGCTAAAAGGTAAAAGCAATAGAGACAATAAGCAAAGTTTCCCGATTTTTTTCTAATTTGCTCAGCAGTATTTACCATCAACAAGGCTAATTTTAATTCACGGTAATTATTTTAGTTTTCCACATTGAATTGGTAGATATCAGACTTTTAAGATCTTTCTTCTTAGTTCTTTCTTATCTGTTGAATGAAGGCTCTTCTTTCCCTCCTGAATTAGTAATACTGAGATCAAAGTCCTAATTTTAAGTTGCATGCCAGCTCAAGGCTGGTGTTTTAATCCCTCTATTCTTTCCCTCTGTAGGCATTCATGTCCATGTTCCAGATTCTTACCCAGGAAGGATGGGTTGACGTCATGGACCAAACACTAAATGCCGTGGGACACATGTGGGCACCTGTGGTTGCCATCTATTTTATACTCTATCACCTCTTCGCCACTCTGGTGAGTTTCACATTTCTTTTCAATTGTCTGACAATTCATGATGGGATGAACATCAACAGGTTTTTGGACTATTGTCAATTTCAGAACCAGAGAACTGAGATAGAGTCGTCCCATTGGATGAGAGTCCCTTCCATTCTAACTGTGTCTAGATTTCAGATTTAAGTCAGAAGTTGTCTCCATCAAAATCAAGTGGCTTGCATGAGGGAAAATGAGACAAAACAAATGGAAGTCCCAAGTCCATATACTGACTTAACCATCTCTATGAACATCCACACCCTCGGTGATCTAAGAATCAAACCAAAACTGCATTATTATTTTTTCTTTATCATGTAGAGACACTCTCGTTGGTTTTGTTGCAGCCTCTTCACAGCTGTAATTAAACTTAAAACAGAAGCTGGAGACCTCAGGGTGCAGTCAGTTAATTAGAAACCAGCTCAGAGTTACTACGCTTTGTGTGACTAAAAGAAACACATGGGGAAAAATAAAACACATGGCTGTGAATATTGTAAATGGTGTGATAAAAACCAAATACCAAAATTCAGGAAAAATTTTCCTCTGTCACACAAGCAGATTTTTCTCTTCCATGTATGTCTATTAAAAAGAAAAGAAAAAAAATTATGAAATGTGGCCTGCATCCTAAAAGGATATAATCCTTAGGTCTTTCTAATGCCAGATCTACATTAAATGTATTGTATGCATTTTGTGTATATTTGTGTATTTGTATATATTTAAGAATCAAATTTAAGCTCTCATATTGTGCTAAAAGTTCCAAGGGAAAAATGCAGAATGTTACCCTTCATTAGGAACATATGAAATAAAAACAACTGCTACTCTTCATTGAGTGGCAAAATGCTTTATAATAATTTTACTCCTCATATTTGGGACAGTCAGGTTATGTAATAGTCCCACTTTACAGAGGATGAAACTGAGGAGTTAATTTGCCCAGTGTCACAAAGAGTATAAACACTAGAGCCAGAACATTCCCAAGCCAGCCTGGTCTCAAAGTCCATGATCTGGCAACTATTTATTGCTGCTTCCCTAGATTATGAAACTTGGCACTGTCACTGAACACGTCTGCAGCAAATCAGACCTCTCTCCATGAGCCACTAAAATAAAATGCGTGCGATCCCTAAAGCTCCTTCCAATTCTAAA